GGAAGGTGGGACATGGGACCCTGGGAAAGACGGGACACGACAGGAAGGTGGGACATGGGACCCTGAGAAAGACGGGACGTGACGGGAAGGTGGGACATGGGGCCGTGGGAAAGACGGGACGTGACAGGAAGGTGGGACATGGGGCCGTGAGAAAGACGGGACGCGATGGGAAGATGGGACATGGGGCCGTGGGAAAGACGGGACGCGACGGGAAGGTGGGACATGGGACCCTGGGAAAGACGGGACGCGACGGGAAGGTGGCACACAAGACGGGCAAGGGCACCCGAGCTCTCGGCACCTGCAACAGGGAGGCCGTTGGTGGCGGAGGCAGCCTGCAGGCGTGGGGACCTGGAGGACAGGCGCCTCAGGCAGGCGGGGAGAGAGGCTCCAGGCACAGAAACCACCCAAATCAGGAGGGGCTGGGTGTGTCTGAGGAGCCACAGAAGGCTACCCTGGATGAAGCATGAAGCAACGACAGGGATTCTGGGACTTTCTTTGGTGATTTCATTTCCTGATCTGACACCAGCGGTGAATTTAAAGATGACAATTTGAGCTCTGGCTGGTGTGGCTCAGTGGACAGAGCGTCGGCCTGTGAACCAACGGGTCCCGGGTTCGATTCCGGTCAAGGGCACATACCTTGGTTGCAGGCTCCTCCCCGGCCTGGGCCCTGGTCAGGGCTCGTGCAGGGGGCAACCAATCGATGTGTTTCTCTCACATCGACATTTCTCTCTGTCTCTCCCTCTCTCTTTCACTCTCCCTAAGAATCAATGGGAAAAAACTCCTCGGGTGAGGATTAAAAATAAAAAATAAATAAAAAGATGCCGATCTGAAGGGCAGGAGGAGGGAGGCTTCTCCGTGTCACACAGGAATGAGCCTGGACCTTCCAGGACAGACCGCGGCTTCTGAACCCACGGTCCCCACCGACGGTGCCGCTCCAGCTTAGGGTTTCCATTCCCAGCAAACCGAGGGGAATGAAAACACCCAGACGGCTTTCCCACTGCTCACGGGACTGGGAAAACCATCTGATGAATAACAGAGCCATTTTCAGTTCTAAATACTCAAATGCATCCCTCGCTGTGTAAATGAACAGAGAAGCAATGATTTAATGAAGGGGGAAAAGCACAAAATGAATTTTTTAAAAATTATTGTTCCAGATCAGATCTTCCATTAACTAATTCTTTGATTTTGGGAAATCACTCAATTTACCTACGTCTCTTCCTTCACAGTAAAGGCTCGGACTTTTTTCATTGTTGTTAATCCTCACTCAAGGATATTTTTTCCATTGATTTTTAAAGAGAGTGGAAGGGGGGACGGGAGAAAGAGAGAGAGAAACATCAATGTGAGAGAGACGCATTGATCGGTTGCCTCCTGCAGGTGCCCCAACTGAGGCAACCACGGTCAGGGATCGAACTGCAACCCAGGTACATGCTCTTGACCAGGGATCGAACCCGTGACCCTTTGGTGCAAGCGCCAACACTCCAACTACTGAGCCACACACTAGGGCAAAGGCTCTTTCACCCCCCTAGTTAGTATAGCACCACACTAGACATCAGTAGTCGATATGCAATAAACTAGAGAGCGTTCCACGCCAGGTATTTAACGCTCACAGCAACCCTATGAGGTTTTACAGATGAGGAAACTAAGGCGAAGACTGGTGAGTGACTTGCCTGCTAACACATACCAAGTGGCAGAACCAGGATTCAAGCACTGCACCTCCATGTCTGGGAGAGGAACCAACTCCCGGCTTCAATGCTGTCCCACCCCCTCCCCCTCTTAACTGGCTCATCGTTCAGACCTCGGGTTAAATGTCACTTCCTCGGGGAACCCTCTCCGGAGAGCCCTTCCTAGGTCAGATGCCTGGGCCCAGGTGTTTTGTTTTTGTTTTTGTTTCTGTTTCTATTCTGTTGTTTTTAATAATTCTTTACTGTTAGAAGTATTTCATATGTCCCCTTTTTCCTCCATTGACCCCTTCCAGCCTGCCCCCGCCCCTGCCCCAGGCCCTCACCACCCCACTGTGTCCATGGGTCATGCATATATGCACACAAGGTCTTTGGTTGATCACCTCCCACCCACCCAGCCTCCCCCGCCTTCCCTCCGAGATTCCGCACTCTGTTCCCTGCTTCCATGTCTCTGGGTCCACTCCGATCATCAGTTTATTTTGTTCATTAGATTCCTCATATGAGTGAGATCATGTGACACTTGTCTTTCTCTGACTGACTTACTTCACTCAGCATGATACTCTCCAGGCCCCTCCATGCTGTCTCAATAGGCCCAGGTTTTAATTGCGCTGTTGATCATTCCTCCAGGGCATCTGTCTCCATTCTGATGATCTGGTGCTGTGCATGCTTGTTTGATTAAAGTCTTGCTCTCCAGCCGCACCCATCCAAGACTGTACGCTCCAGGAGGCCAGAGCTGTGCTGTGTGCCGCCCCTCCACAGTGCCCGCAGGGGAAGGCCCAGGTGGGGCCGGTGGCCACTGTCCCAGGAGGCAGTGGCACAGGGCCAGGAACACGCTAGTCAAGTTTCAATGTCTAGTTAGTTGGCAATTACTCAGAAATTCCTATCACATATACAGGTGTCCCAAAAACGTATACACACTGACTTCTATTCCATTTTGAAAAGGAAATGTATTTTAATAAATGCTGCCTTTATAATTATTCAAAGTGTATATATATATATATTTTTGGGGGGGACAACCTGTAGTTATATATCTATATGCCTATATATCTATATATCTCCATATGTGTGTGTGCATGTGTGTGTGTGTGTGTGTGTAGTGAATATCAATAGTGATACCATAAAAACTACAATATGTAATTTTTGTAGTAATGGTTTACCTGTCATTATACTGGCTTATTTCACTCAGCATAATGCTCTCCAGGTCCCTCCAAGCTGTCGCACTGGGTAAAATTTTCTTCCACTTTTACAGCTGAGTAGTATTCCATTGTGCAAATGTACCACAGATTTTTATCCACTCATCTTCTAGGGGCACTCGGGCTGCTTCTGAACCTTGGCTATTGTAAATAGCACTGCGATGGACATAGGGGTGCACGTATTCTTTCCAATTAGTGT